AATCAGATATATTCAAGCTTTCAAGTGTCAAAGTATGTGTAAATAAGGAGGAGAACAAAAATCATATTTATTTAAACTCCGAACAAATATCATATTTTTTACTAAAGAAAACAACCAAACTACAAAAACTATGAAACCCATGGAAAGAATAGAAGAGAAAGGGTGAAAAACTTACAAATAAGAATGAAGAGGATGAGTGATAGCGACAGTAACAGGGACAACAACACTGATAAAAGAACATGGCAAAGACTACAGAAGCAAAGGATAAACGCTGGTAAAGGTAGGAGGAGGGAGAAAATCGAGTGGGGACAGTAATGGGGAACCATGAGCTTTGACTTGTGAAAAGCAAAAACTATCATGCAATAGATAAGATTTTAAAATTCTGATAGACTTTCTAAGACGGTTATTTAAAAAATCGTCGTAAAAAAATATTTTACGGTGGTTTTTAAAACAAAGCAAAATAATTTGACAACCTGCGGCCAGAAACCACAACTTTATGAGGAAACCAGCACATTTAATATATTTTAATTATAAATTTGTCACTCGGTTTGTTTGTAATACATATGTTTCCGTGTAATATAATACTGAGAATTGCCTCCAATCACATGCCTCAGGCGAAATCCAATGTTCATTGAGAAATTAAAAATTTCAAGTTATATCCATGGTTTGAGCATCAACTAATTTAAGCACAGCATGCACCTTCTTAACTATTAAATCATTGATTTTTGGGACATAGCTACTAAAATATAATAGGGTATGTAGGCAGATTACATTGGATTCCAATATGAGCACCACAGAAATATGTGAAGGTGCCTTTAGTTTTATCGCTCCCTCGTTGCATAGTGTGCTCGGATATTCTTACAAGCCATGTGGTGGGGCTATCAAAGAAATTAAATGCTATGTGTAGTGACGCTGAACCTAGCTTGATCTCTAAATGTGGAGCCTCTATGAGTTCCTAATTAACTAAGTGTAATCAACAAATTAACCAAATTTTACTACTACTCTTTTTTATATTTTTAATTCTTAAAATTATCATCTCGTGTGAAGTTAATAAGTTGACAACGCGCGGTGAAAGGCGACAACTTTATGGGCAGTGTAATTGGCACAATCTAATACTAAAATTCTAAGTGAAATATTAAAAAACAAGAAAATCCCAATAAAATCTGAAATACCTAAATCCAAATTAAGGCCTATATTTTTAATAAATTTCAAATGAGGAGATGAGTCCTAATTTAGGATTTCCAAATGTTATTAAATGATCAGAATGCCTCTTTCAATTAAAACAAAAAATGATTATTTTACTCTTCCAAGTGATTTCTCACCTCTTATGATTATTTTTAGGACCAAAAAACACATAAAAATTTTATAGTTTTTAAAATTTTTAGATGTATAACTAAAATATTCAAAAATATTTTAATAAAACATTTTAAATTTCAACAAAAATAGCCTTAAAATAAGGGGAAAATCCTTTAAAAAGAAATTAAATAACCCAAAACTGTATTTTGGGTTGTTGAATTTCTCAAATCTCTAATTAGGTCACGTGACTTAAAGAAAAATTTTAATATTTTATGAAACAATTATAATATCCCTTTTATTATAAACCTATAGAAATGGAGATTTTCTATCATTCTCGCGTTGTGTAAGAGTTCTGAACAAGAAAAACATGATGTTTACCATTACAAAGTTGGAAAACTGATCAAGGAGACAACTGCGGGTTAGTTTTTATATTAAATCTTCCTCCCTTAGTCCTGATAGTTTCATGTTGACAAAAAAGTTAATTTAAAATTGGAACGTCTTAACTATGAAATAGAATATGTTAACTTTCAATGTTGTATGGCGATAAAGTTTTATTCAAAAACCTATTACAAGTGTGTTAAGGAAACATAAAGTTGCCAATTTAGAAGTGAAATTTGTTCAACTATGAAATGGGACATGTTAAATGTGTTCAACCATGAAAAGGGACATGTTAATTTTTAAAGTCACATTGTAATCAAATTTTATTCAAAGACTTATTGCAAGTGTGTTATGGAAATAAAATGTTGTAAATTTAGAATTGAAACGTGCTAACTGTGAAATGAAACTTTTTAATTTTCAAAGTTATATTGTGATTAAGTTTTCTTCAAAGAATTATTGCAATTGTGTTTTGGAAACTTGTTAACCATGTAATTAAACTTATTAATTTTTAAGATTGTATTGTGATCAAATTTTATTCAAAAACTTACGCAAGCGAGTTATGTTACCGGATTAAGAATTTGACAAATTTAATGACTAAAATAAAAATTTGAGTTATTTAAATATCTTTTTAAGAGATTTTTTCTTAAAATAAATATTTTTTATGTTATGTTTGTAAATATTTATTTTAAGATTTTAAATGTTTTAATAGGCTAAGGTGTATTTAGCACTTCGAAATATTTTTTCTGATGCACTCAATGTGCTAAAGTTATTTATAATGCAATTTTGCCCCTAAAGTATTTGAAGTGGTGCACCCACATCCAATGCTAACAGATCCATTTTGTTTGACCATGAACTTATGAGTCAGCTTTATTTTGACCAAAATAATTCTAGCTGATATGTTGAGTAAATAGTTGACATGGCCATTAAGAGGTGACATGAACTTCTTGTTGGGAATTATTCTTTTATTTTGTCAGAATAGTTTTAATTTTGTTTAACAAAACTTTTTTAATCACTCTGAATATGCCTAGGGAGAATTTATTAAAGTGGGAGCAGAAGGCAATGGCAAGGCAAACCTTTGGGTTTCTTCTTTGGCCGAGCAAGTTCATTCTGCTAGTGAAGCTTGTAGTGGTGAGATAGATTGAGGTAAGAGTCGGTTTCTCCATTTAGTTTTTTTGCTTGCATATCGCTGGATTGAAAGTGGGTATCAGTATTAAGGGGCTTTTTTTAAAGCAGAATATGGGAGATGCAAATCTTAGCAATGATGTGGAGTGGGGACAACATCTGAATCAAAGTTAAAACGCCGGAAAGACAACCGATTGACACCTTTGCTTATCAAGGGTACCAGAACCAGATAAATCAAAGAAATTGAAATAGATTAATGTTTAGATCTAAACCAAAGAATCAAAGATCCAGAACACAATCAAACCAAAGATCCAAATGAAACATAAAGATCGAAATCAAAATCACCATGAAGCACTTCACTGAGTTTCCCCTCAACTTTTCTCCGTCGTAGACCCGTAGATCAGTAAACGCTATTGTTGGTGCTGGTGGAGATGAGTTACACCATCGCTAGTAGAGACGAGTCACCACCAACACTGGTGGAGACGAGTCGTCACCGTTGCATTGTAAATCGAATGATGAAAGAGAAGACAAAGAGCAGAGTTGTCGCCTTCTTCCATCATCCTCGCCGAAGTCACCGTCATGCTCCATGGTCTTCATCAGCGTCCTTATCGTCATGGAATGATTCAAGAGGTAAAATGTTAGACCCCCTATTCTGATCTAAATTTAATGGTACTGATCTGTAGAGTTTTGATGGTGAGAAGCTTTAATTCAGAATCATAGAAATTTTTGTTTTTGCCACAAATGATGATCTTTGCCATTACATTTCATCAACCATCAAGGAGAAGATGACCGAACAGGCCCTAGGATTGTGATTTTTCCTATTGATTTTGGCTTCAGATACAAAATAAAACAAATAAAAGAATTTCTATTAAAAACAAAAGCCTTGTCATCAGTTTATGTGTAAAGTCAGCTAGGATTGTTTTGGTCAAAATAAAACTGACTCATCAATTCATGGTCAAACAAAGTGGTTTTGTTAATGTTGGATACCAGTGCAGCACTTTGAATACTTCAGGGGTAAAATTATACTATAAATAATATTAGGACACTGGGTGTATCTGAAAAAATCCTTCAGGGTACCGAGCGTACCTTAACCCTATTTCAATTACAAAAAATATTTAATATTATATTGTTATAGTTTATGTTAGTTTTATTTATTTAAGCAAAAATTGGATTCCAACCCAAAAATGTAATTTGCAACAACTTAATATAAAATATTTCTTGTAATTAAGATATTTTAAAATCTTAAAAATAAATATTTACAACTTGAAAATAAAATATATTTATTTAAAGGGTACTTATTTGTAATTTAAAATTTTTGATTAAAATATTTTTAAAGGTTTTAGTTATATATAAAAATTTTAAACATTATAAAATTATTTATGTGTTTTTCAGTCCCAAAAAATAATCATAAGAGAAAAGAGGAACCATTTGGGAGGGGTAAAACAATCAATTCTTCTTTTTAATTAAAAAGGGACATTCTGGCTATTTAAATAATATTCAAAAATTCCTAATAAGGCTCATGGTTTAATTAGGAATTTGTTAAAAGTACAGGCTTGAATTTAAATTTAGGTTTTTTAATTAGAATTAATTGGGATTCTCCCTATTAAAAACCCAATTCGACAAAAATGAAACAACATACTAAAAATTTGCCCAAACAATAACATAAAATGAAAAGTAAAATCGCTCGTAACTGAATGTGGAAAAGGACGACATCGTGGAAGCAACCCTTAACATGCGGATTCAGTTTGTTGTAATTTTAAATGCATCTGTTGCCATGTAATATAATACTGAAAATTGGTTACGAATAAACGATCACATGCCTTTAACGAATTCCAATGTTCATTGAGCAATTAGAGAATTTTAGATTTTATCCATGCCTTGAACATCAAATAATGTAAGCCACATGCACCTTCTTTACTATTAAATCATTCATTATTTTTGGTGACACAAGTAGTAAAATATTGCAGGGTAGGTATATTTATATTGGATTTAAATGTATGAAACCCATAGAATTATGCGAAGGTGCCACTAGTTTTATCGCTCGTCCAGGTACACAGCGTTCCCAATATTCTAATTATTTACGGGGTCCTTTATACTATTGACTACTAAGGATCAATACATACAAGGCCTAAGCCTTCTTCAACGAGTGTGGTGTGGAGTGCACAGCAGAGCAGATCAACTTTTTCCCCTCCTTTAGGGTTTAGATGGCAGAAGCAATTCATACTGAGATCAACTGGGAGCCGACGCCTGATGGCATGAATGAACAAGATTTGGCCTCTGAGACTGCTCAACAAATGGTAGAGCTGAAGCGACTACATCTCTCATCTCGGCCTATAGATTTATCCTCCAGTTACTTGCAAGAACAACAAGATGTACGCATGCTTTTTTATTTTCTTTCATTTCTTTTTGCTTACAATTTTTGAGGTTGGTTCTGTTTAGTTCCTCGATTATTAGACTTTTTAAGCCTTATTTTGTTTCACTTTTAAAGACACTAATCAGATTGCAAGCATGACTCCTGTACTTTGCATCCGTCGTGGCTTTTTCTTAATTTCGTTACATTCTCTTTAATTTGCTCGTTCCCTGTTAGATTGCTCATCTTTAATACCCCATTATAGCGGTTTTTCTAACCCTTTTCATCATTATATAATACACACACACACACACACACACACACACACACACACATCTTGAGTTTTGAAAATATAACATGTGCATCCTAAATCATACTTCGTAGGTGAAAGATGAGGTGACTAAAGACATGGAAGAAATGATTCAAGATTGTGGCGATGGTCTTTTATTACCAGACTGTTGTATCTACAAGGTGCCTCTTACACTCCGTCATCATAAAGCAGAGTTTTACACTCCAAAATTTGTCTCGATTGGCCCATTTCATTATGATAATGAGAGTCTGCAAGACATGCAAAAGCATAAAAAAATATTCTTCAAAAGGTTTACTCAAAGAGCTGAGTCCAGCTTGGATGATTTGGTTCATTGTGTTAAACATTTAGAGCCAAAAGTCCGTGCTTCTTATTCTGAGACCATTCACCTTAGTGAACAAGAACTTGTGAAATTAACATTAATAGATGCTGGCTTCATCATTCAACTCTTCATCATGTTGAAACATGATCATCATCAGTTTTGCAATGATGATGCTAAATTTTCACAGCCATGGTTACAAGTATACATACAAAAGGATTTGATTTTGCTAGAGAATCAACTTCCGTTCTTTGTTATTGAAGAGCTGTACGATAAAGCTTTCCCCCCCGACCGCCGTGGTAGCTTCCCTTCATTTCTTAGGCTCACATATGAGTTTTTTGATTATTATAACGAACAAAAATTAGAGCCTAATGTTGATGTTAAGATAAAGCATTTTACAGATCTTATTAGATTGTTTTACTTGCCAATAAGCAAGCCTCAACAGCATCTATTGTCAGAGTTCGGAAGCCATAAAACTTTATATAGTGCGAAGGCATTGCAAGAAGCAGGCATAAAGTTGAAGGCTAGTAAGAACAAATGCTTATTAGACTTGAAATTTTCAGGGGATACGCTTGAAATTCCAACACTGTTGGTGGCGGATAGAACTGAATTTTTTTTTCGTAATATGATAGCATTAGAACAATGTCATTATCCTTATGCTGCTTACATTAGTGACTATGCTCATGTATTGGATTGTCTAATAGACACTTGTAAAGATGTCGATGTCCTGGTTCACAACAAAGTAGTCAGCAACTGTTTAGGTGATCCCAATAGTGTTGCTTTATTAGCTAATGGTCTTTTGACAAATTTCATTCGAGTGACTTTCAATTCCCAATACTATGATATCTGCCAAAGGTTGAATGGCTATTGTGAAGATCCTCGGCACAAGATGATGGCAACTCTAAGACGCGATTATTGCAATACTCCTTGGCATACTGCGGCCTCGATAGCTGGAATAATCCTTCTTGTTCTCACCATTGTTCAAACCATATTTTCAATCCTTCAAGTTTTATTGGAGAAGCAGACTTAAAAGCTTATTGTATATTTTAATTTCAGTGTTCTATCATGTAAACAATGTTGGTTCTGTAATTTTTATTAAGTCTCTCGATAGCCTGCCTCCAAGGTATCTAAATAATAAGTAGAATTCTCAAGCTTATGCATGTATATATAGTAGGTTTGTGACAGCAACATGTTGCCTTATAATTATAATTCTTGTTTAAGCCATATTTTCTATCTTCCCATAGTAGAGTTGGCGAGGTAGATTTAAAGCTTGTACCGTAGAAGATCATTGGTTGAAAACTTTCATTTATAAGAAAACTTTCATGTCCATTGGTTGAATAGTCCTTCGAAAAGGTGGCTAAGCCTTTTGATTTTCTCATGCAAATATTGCAGATGTAAAGGTGACGCTTACATTAGAAAAAATTGTTTAATGTATCTAATTTTTATTTTCTTTTTAGTTAAAAAAAAAACAGATGAAGTTGAATGTCGGGAAAGCACATTATGTAAATTGTTTAATCACGAGAATATGTCCTAAAAGTTTCAAGTCTCGCAAACCACATGAGTATCGGTCCCACTATTATTGCAACCATGACCAAGGTTGGCTCAATCACGTGGGCTTCAAACAACGTGAGCCAGTCCCATTTTGGGCTGTAAATGCAATGTGCAGTCACCTATTTCAAACATTGTCTCCTCAGGGATTAAAGTATAATAGAAGGAACTAATTTTTCATAATGTGCCAAATTAGGATTCGACGAATTCCTACTAGATGAAGTATCTACATTAGTGCCCTATATCGAACAGAAGGATACCTCTGTCTGGTTTTTTTTTTTTTTTTTTAAAAAAAAGCATTGTCTCCACATAAGTTCCAGATACAAGCAAACTTTGATACCTATCACATCTTATCTCAAAACCTAGTTCGAGTCTATGATATATCCTTCCGATTTTTCAATTTTGTATATTTGTTTTATTAAAACCAATTCCCTTCAGTGTGAGATTTCCCACATCAATTAATTTTTTAAAACTTATTATATTAATATATACCTCCGGTCCTTAATATAAGACCCATTTAACTAATTTGATTAGATTAAGAAAATTAGGTAAGTTAGTCAATTATAAGAAAAGTGACATTTTTCTTAAAACATCATAATCATTTTTCTTAATACTCAATCTCCCTCTTCTATTTGATTATGGTTGATAGAGGTAATTTAGAGAAAACTGATAAATATGAAAAATAGGTCTTATATTTAGAGTTAAAACCAACTCAAGAATTGAATCCTATACTGAGGACCAAAAGAGTATTAAAAAATATGCACACTCTAAAGTGTACTAAAAGCCTACATTTGTGTAGGCTTTAGTAGGTTCAAAGCCTATGTACAGTCTTCAAAACTTGAAACATGAGGCCTTTTTAAAAGCCTACAGTCTAAATAGGCCTTTCAAGATGCTTTGGGTATGCTGAGCTTTTCAAAGGCTCGGGCATAAATCTGAAAAAAGTTGGTATGTCGGTTCAGGCCGAGGCTCATACTCTAAACTCTCGATACTGGGTCAAGCTTATTTGGCCAAAACTTTATAAAATTCAAATTTACTATTTTTTTTAAGTATGTCATGTTTATAAGAGAATAAGTGAGAGAGAAATAATAAAAAATAAAAATAAAAAAATGTATAAAAAAAGAAAATGATAAAGGAATAATAAATTGATAAAAATGTATTTAATATTGAGAGAACCACAAACTATATTATATAAAAAAAAGACCAATTCAAAAATTTAAATGTTATAAAAAAAATGAAAGGGATAATAATCAATAACATTAAGTATTATTCTCTAGGGTCTTAAGAGCAGTGATCTGAGAACCCATCCGAACATTGAGGCTGGTTTTAATTAGATTAATAAGAGTAATGAGAAAGGTGTGATATACTATGATAATTGCACCCATCATAGTTTAAATTATGAAACATTTTACGGCATACTTATTTATGAAAAAAATACTCTGCTGCGTCGCTAATAACATAAAAGTAGATAAAGTAACATCCATCATCATGAATTCATGGTGCAAGGCCCAAAAAAAAAATCATGAATTCATGATGTTATTTTCTAAGAGAAAATTGGTTGAAAATCCCCACATGCATTCAGTATTCATCAGGTTAATACGGTCTTTTTGTTATGATATTTATTAAGACTTGTGGGGCCCACTTTACATTTATTGAAAATTCTATTCTCAAATTAATTTGTCAAATGAGATTTTTTTAATATTTTTTCTTATTTTCTACGTGTATCCAGTACCTTAATTTTATCTAGGTTGCATTTAGCATCTTGATATTATTTTTCTGCTACTTTTAGCACCCTAATCTTATAATAAATTTTTAACATATAATATAATATATAAAATTATTTTAAAAATATAATAAGTTAAATATTATATGGATATAAATTATAATATAATATAAAACATAAAGATAATGAAAAGATGTCTATTTGATATTTATTTTCCTAACAAAAATATTTATTAAAAAAATTATAATATAAATACATTAAAATAAAATAATTCATCATTTTAATAAATAAAATTAATATTAAATAACATATTTATTACTGATATATGCATGTAGGATTATTTAAATATCATAAAATTTCTTAATAATTAAAGACCAGATATTCCTTTCAGTTCAACTAATAACAATAATAAGATGGACACAGACATAATAAAAATCACTTCATAATTAATGAAAAGAGGAGTGCATGACCACAAAATCATATAACAAACTCTTAAAACATTAGATCAATATATGTTGTCTTCACAGTTTCACTACCATTCATGATAATTATTAAGTCCAACAAGCGAATAAAAGCAGCATTGCATTATCATCATAATTAAGTTCATCATCATCATGAGAGAATAATCAATTTCTTAATCATCCCTATCTATGCTCCCACCTTGCGCTTGAGAACAACAAAAAGCATTACAAGTTTGAGCTTCTGGGGATACATCATGAGTTCTGGGGATTTCATAAGTTTCTGAGCAAAGTCATCAAAAAGTTCATCAACAGTTCCATCACCGAAGTGCTTCCCAATTAGCACTTCGAGAGCAGCTCGGCATTGAGAAACATGTCTGTCCAAGTTTGGCTCAATTAACAATTCATTGCCATCTAATGGATCCATTTTCTCCCCACTCAAATCTTCATTACTGTCAAGCATTTTCTTCAGATCCTTCAGCCATGGAAAATACTTGGGCACATTAAAAGTGTCCACTTTTTCTTCACTTATAAGTCCCTACAATCACAAAAATGGGAAAAAAAACTTTTAGCAAATTCTTAATGGGAAAATTACCGAAAAGTCTTCCAGTGCAAAATTTATTGTCCAAGGGTACACATATAAGTCTTAGGTCCTTGAGTGAGTTTAATTGTTTTTTAGTTGTATGCAACATATTGTTAGCTATATACAAATATCTTTCCTTTTGCACATAATTAAAGATAGATTGCACATAACTGGGAAAAAAAACGCACTTGCTAAACGTATGTTGCACCTTGGTCCTTAAAATCATTTCACGCACTTGGGATAATAAACTTTGCAGTAAGGGATATTCAGCAATTCTCTCAATCTTAATTTTCCTATTCATTAGACAGCTTACCAAAACTTCATAATTTTTTCCACCATACAGGTCCACACTAAAATCAATCACATCATGAGCAGCATGTATCAAAAGTATCATTATCCCATTGCCCACAAGTTCTTGTGCTCTAGCTTGTAAAAATGTCTCCAAATCCATCTTAAACTGTCTTTTATAAGCATCTTCAACTTATTTTGGAGCATTGGTATAGAAAATCCTTCCCTTATTCCAAGCACCACCGTTTCTATCAGTAAGCTTTTTGGGCATCTTTGATAGCCAGGACAATGATGAAAATGAGTGAACTATATGCAGGCTTTGACTTGGAAATAAACGTCCATGGAAAGAGCTAGGAACTCCAGCTGCAAAGTAGTTTGTATTGGGAGAAAGTTTCTGAAAGAGAGTGTTGAAATTATTTGACGCTTGATCATTGAAGAAAACAAAGAATTCTGGGGTGTTTTGATTTTGAGATTAAGATTGGTATTTGAGTTGTATTGCTTCTATTATGTTTTGTGTTGCAATGAAGGTGTTCGGCCCAGAGGAATAGCCAAAGTTTGCTATGCGAATTTGGTTTGCAGAAGAAACATAAGTTGTTTTCAAGTCAAAGTTATCAGTTACTGCACTTTGGAGAAGGTTTTTGGCTGCTTCAATTGCTGATCTCTGCAGATATGATGTGGTTTATTAGTTAAATGAGTTAAAAAACAAATTCACCAAGAAGTTTCTACTCAAGAGCAATGTAATCCAGAAGTTGATTTTGTTTATATGAGTTTGTTTATATTCTATTCAATACGTGAAAAATAGAGGCAAATAGAGTGGACTAGAGAGAGTTTTCATTCTTTGATTTTTTTTATATATATTTTTTTTGTTATTTAATTTTTTATTTAACGGTTTTTTAATCAGTTGATATCTACAGTTATTTTACTATTTCTATTGAATATTCAGATTTAATTATTTATTTAAATTATTATTTATTATAACTAATTTTTATTCATTTATTTTTAATTATTATTTATTAATAATATATTATACTTCTTAGTTGTATAATATTATTATTTTATTTTTTGTTAGTTGAAAAGCATTTTTATTTCATAATATTATATTCTTTCATTAAGAGTAATATGGTAAACTTACACAATTTTTCAACCCATTTTCATCTAACCAAATATAAAAATTTTTATTAATCCATTTTTTATTATTCCAGTACTTACCAAACATGCCATTACTAAAAAAATTTCGATTTCATTGCATTCCATTCATTCCCATCATGATCAGATCTTTCAACTAAACGTTCTCGCTAACAGCAATTCTAACAATGGAAATAAGTTCTCCACCTTGAGGAAGATCTCTTACTTGAATACTTTGGCCGCAATGAGCTGCAGCAAATATCAACATCTGAACCCATATCTTGGACATAGCTTCCTATTTGCGGTCC